CCAAAACGTCAGGAAAGTAAAACTCTTGTTCTAGTGATTGCATCCTCTTCTTCCGGAATGTTTATTTTCTGAGGGCCTGAGTCAGGAATTTGGACGTCAGACGGTGAGCAGGCGTATACATTGTACCGATAAAAGTTGTGCGTTGTTAGACTTTAAATACCAGGGTCCATGAACGTTCGCACATTCCAGCATCTAATACTAAGGGTCCGTTCCCGATTGAGTGGTTCAGTTCGCAAACTATTCGCCCGCAACACTGGACTAGGGTTGCGAAGAGCGTCGGTTCCTTTAGACGTCGTAGCATGTATAGTAGTACTGTAATTGAACATATTTTCATGAAGTTTCTTGAAAATTATGGGTACAAGCGGGTCCATAACAGCTGCTTGGATGTTTTTTTCTAGGTTGCCTCCTATAGCGCTTTGACTCAAGCCCCTAGCCCCAAGACAGCGATGGCGAGCGAACTTATTTAATAGCGGTTCACGGTCGCCATGTCACACTGCCGTCATTGGACTTTTTGGCTTTGTATAAGGCTTTTGGCATGCCAGACCTCAGCCCTCCGCTCCCTGGTAAGACAGTCGTTACTTGTCCACGACTGCTTATTCGCCAAACTCATGAGTTTGCTTACTTTGCGACTGCTCTTCACTGAAGGCCTTCTCACTATCCACTACACGTGGACGCATCGGGTATTTAGCAACTAGGCTAACGGGCAACCAAGCTTCTCGAGGAAATTGATGGAGTCGTTATGGTGCCTTGAGCGAATGCATGTTTGAGTCAGCCTTCAAGACGATTGGTCGGTTTGGTTGGCTGTGTTTGACCGAGAACCAGATTGCCACCGGTACGCGCCTGCAAGTAATCACAAGAGCCGCATCATTGCAACAGGCACCCGGAGTAGACCCATTACAATCTATAGACAAAGGCTTTTATCACAATATGTTTAAAAGTAATTATTCCACTTCCCATTTTAAATAATCAATTTTATGTCAGTACACAGCAGTAATAGTTCTTAGTATCTGGTTTTATTAAAAAAAAACCTTTGATAGTTAAGTTTTAGACTACTGGCATCATACTCACCGAAGGCTATCCCCTAGGTAGAATCCTGTTTTGTAGGTTATTTTGGTGATTAGTAGACTGTAGACAAAATCTGTCCAGCAGTCCCTTCGCGTGATTGGCTTTAGAGGCAGATAAAGTAATTAACCGCCACATAGCCTGTTCGTCTGTGCTACTACTTCAGGGTTGACTTCCGGGGCTTCGCGCAGATTTCGTTTGGTAATAGCATGTCACACTAATGATTAAACTAATCTGGTTATTTTTGATGCAACGATAAAAACTCACCTAATATATTTATGCAAACCAACCCCAGCCTTCTATTTTATTTTCATTACAGTTGCTTAGCTGTTAGATATGCCAAATCGTGGCAAACGACCCACTGCTTCAGAGGCGCCTGGGGAACCCTCTAAGACCAAAAAACTGTACGTTCCTTCCTCATTTACATTTTCAACAGCCGGCAAACTGTACTGGGTGATGGAAAAAAAGGTCTGGACTTCGCCTCGTGGAGCGTCACAGACTCTTTGGCGATCTTCACTCCACCGAACACAAAGAACTCTTCCAAGGTACACCGTCGAGTCTTACCATGTGTTTTTTGCTCATGCCAGAACGTTCAATTAGCCCTTTTGTCTTGACTTTGCAGCATTTCGGAGAAATTCCAAATTCCAATTTGATTGCATTATGTCAACCAGTGCATTCTTCACTATTTCGCACATTTGTCACCACTATCTACATTCTCCAATTTCATACGCCTATCCTAGGATGATTGCAATGACGACCAGAGGTCTTTGTTTTGCAGATTATGAAGTGTGAATTTTCGTATTAGTTCCAGTAATTTTCATTTGCTTTTTGACCCGTTTCCTTAAGCGCCGCTCTTATTATTGCTTAAATTTTCCTTTTAGGTGTTAGCGCTTGACATGGATGGTACCATTATTGTTCCTGCTTCTGGTCGCGTTTTTCCCAAGGATGCAAACGACTGGAAACTCATGTTGACCAACATTCCAGAAGTCTTAAAACGCTATGACAATGAGGGATTTAAAGTAGTTATACTTTCTAACCAGGTATGATTGGACTCTTCACAATTTTCTCCTATTAATTTCCGCGTGTAGAGTAGCTTCAAGAAAGATAGGAGTAAACTTCCCGAGTTTCAAGTAAAAGTACAAGAGGTCGTTGCAAAACTCGGTCTTCCGATTCAGGTTCGTTTTTACCGCTCTCGTTGTAGACCAATTACCCTACTCTGTAGGTTTTCCTGAGTCTGCAGGACGACATGAATAGGAAGCCAAGGACCGGACTGTGGCAGGCTCTGGAAAGGGTAATTGCATAATAATCGACCTTACTGAAAAGCATGTTTAGCAAAACGGCGGAATAGAAGTCATTAAAGAGGATTCCATCTATTGTGGAGGTATGTCTTTCGCCTTATTTATTTTCTAAAATCTTCTGAGATCAATGGGCATCTTTGAGGCTGGTTGTCATGACTTTATACACTATCAATCGCCTCCAATAAGGATTTTTTTGAAAAGCAGCCAACCTCTTTGAGTTTTGACTGCCACGCCTCGCTCTTCGCGTTACACACAGTTGTACCTACCCGCGCGTTTTTCCACCGATTGTACTGATTAGTTCGTTTATAGACTTACCTGTGTTAGTAACCATGCACCGCTAAACTTGAATGCCCATTCTTCGTTTTGCCTAGATGCTGCCGGGCGGGAGGCTACAGGAACAATCAAGAAGGACCACTCGTGTTCTGATCGCCTAGTAAGTGGCTCACCTTGGTAATTAATACATACGTATAAGGTTACGTGTCCCTCTTTTTATCTTCTACTGCGATCGAGTTTCATCTTCAGAAGGTGCTGCTTCACTATTCTCATTGTTCTGTTTTTTTTGAGTTATAAATGTAAAAAGCCAGGAATATTTGTTCAGGAGGTTTGTGTGGAGTGGTCAGTCAGGTTTGGAACTTTATTTACACTCCGAATTAGCTGCGTACATCCACGACCGAAATTCAGTCAATTTCAGGAGACTGCTTTGCAGTGAAACTGTGGCTGAAAATTCTATTTTGAACTTGGTCTGATCACTAGACGCAGCTACCTCCTCCCTCCTTCTGGAATCCCACAGATTCAACTATCAACCTTGCAATATCGTGTTTCTTATCCGTTTGCGAAGCAACTAGCAAAGCTACAATGTGTTTAAGCCATGGCCTATCTTCGGCCGATCTCGTAATATCGTCTTCCCCAATGCGTCCTATACATTGTCAAAGAATGAATATAAATGTTTGCTA